AAGTGATAGAAACGAGTATTGATCTTCAGCACAAGAACATTGGTGACTTATGTTTTAGTGGTGGACGTTTTGGTATGATGGTCAAAATCAGAGAGCACACTAATGAGCACATCTTTCATTGAAGTCATGGAAATGGGAATGTGTTTTCTATAGCGTTATCTCAGCTCATTCCCCTCCATCCTCTTGTGCCTGCTGGCTCTTCTGTAATAAAACCTCAGCTCTTTTCCTCTGATGAGCCTGCATCACTGCACAGAGTTTGGCAGATGTCTGCAATCAGTGATACAAGCTCAGGGGTGGTTAAAGCTGTTAGAGAGAGTTGTGATGGTGCTGCTGGGTGTTGTTCCATTGGTGTGTGTGTGTGTGTGTATGTGTGTGTTAGGTGTAGAGGAAGCTAAAAGGTGACTGAGTCTAAGCATAGTTTTTCATTCATTTTGTGTCTCCACCATGAACCCTGTCTCTCTTTTGGATTTTACAACAATTAAAGAAACTAGCAATTTAAATGCCATTTTTTTATTGTGTGGTGCGGATTTAGTACTAAAACCTTATAACTTATAACTGACTGTAACCATTCCTCAATGTAAACAGATGGGATAAATCTATTAAGGTGATTCTGAACAGAAAAATCTTACCATTACAGCTTTAGCTCCTTCTTATCACAAACGCTTTTTAAAGTAAAACAAGGCAGCTGTGTCATAGAGTGGTAAATGCCATGATGCAGATAACATACTTTCACAGAGGTGCAGGGTTAGTGCAACAGCAGAGCTCATAATATTTTAAAGTCCACACCACCTGTGCTCTTAACTTGTCGAGATCTGCCCTGCCCTCTGTCGCACATTCACAGCCTGTGCTGTAACAGTGGCCACTGTGCATGTAATGGCTCCTTCCTCTCTCTTTGATTTCCCACTTTCCTTCATTCTTGTATTACGAGACACACACACACACACACACACACACACACTCACACTCATACAGAATGCTATCAGGGCCAGCTCAAAATTTTGTGTAGTGCAGAGGTCATAGAGATTGCGCTGTGATAAGTATCAGATGAAAACAGTTTTGCTTTTCAGCTCAAAACGATACTCTAGAAAGATACATGTGATCCAAGGTGAGATCGAGAGTGAGTGAAACACTGGCCCAATGGGGCAAGAACTTAAATTGTTCAAGGTAAATCCATATTAAAGCTGTTCTTAGACACTTGACATGCAAACTGAGGAACGTTTGGCTTGGCTTTGCTTTGCCCCATACACTTATCAATAGAAACTATTTGGTAAAATAGCACATAATAGACCAGTGGTCAAGTGTACAACACCGCATTCCTTTTAACTTGTCTATTTTCAGACACCAGCTACATCTTGTGCTCTTCTCTCAAACACTCACACATTACAAGATGTGCTGCGTGCTTCTTATCTTAACCGTGTGGGTGTATTGTTTGATTGCATGCTGTTGACAGTCAGGCAGTGCTGTGCTGTGCCATCTGGATCCCCTCAGGCTGGCACTTCAGCGGGGCAGCCAAAAACCAGCAAAGGGCTTTCCTGTCTGGGCTGATGTTGCAACCCGAGGCGACCCTCATGACAGGCCCTGGGGGTGAGCGGGCAGAGCGCCAGCTAACTGCTAACCACACTAATACAGATCTTCCTGTTCACAGTGTAACTAACGGCAGTTGGTTGCAGCTGGTTGTGGTGCATCTTTCAGGGTTTTTCGTGGTTCTGAATGAGGCACAGATGCCACCTCAACTACGATTTACTGAACCATGATTGTTTTTTTTAGTAATAATAAGACAATTCAAACATTGGCCAGGTCCTACACAGATGCCGGTGACCTTCTTGACACTGAATTAGAATTAAATGTAGGGATGTGGGCTAAATAAATATTAAAAATAATAATAAATACTATGGATTACCTTTAATCATTCTTTATGATTTCACAAATTCCAAAAACAGATTCTTGTTATTCTTGTGATGTTGTTATTGAATCTTATTGCTTAATATGCTGTCCTAATAGAACAACAAAGAATCTCTCTCTCGCACTGCAGGGAGGTCAGTGTAGCTGCTAACTGTAAAGCTGTAGGAAGGGAAACGCATAGAGTTATGTTCATTCTTTGAAAAAGTGAAAGTTATTGCCATTAGTTATTACTGGCAGTAATCTGAAAAAAAAATGAATATACAAAGGCATATTGGTTAAAATGATAAGTAATGAACTATGGGTCATGGATGGAAGTGGATCCACTTGTGAAGTCATAAAGATCCCCACCATAAATAAATGCATATGGAAAATAAACAATCACATTGATTCAGGCAACCCCTTAGGAGTGGGTGATATTAACCCAAATGTTTTAATAGGATAAAATGATGATCATAATAACACTTATTCAGTGAACATATTTCCTGCAACTTGACGGTATGGCAGAGGTATACAACCGCGAGGCGATATTTCTACTTATCGTGATGGATTTCCTTTGCTTGGAATGGAACATGGGAATGGTCCTCTGGCTTGTATAAGGGAAACAGGCAGAAGTGTATTCATTTATCAGAAGAAAACTATGGGAAGAAGAACAATGAACTGTGGCTGTTTTTAGTGTTCATCTCCTTTTTGATTTTGTCCTTCATTTTTCCATATTATAGGTGTGTTCTGTTGGGTTTCTGAAGTGGTGGAGGTTTGGACATGTCGGTCTTAAATCCACATACTGACCTATTCCCTCCACTCTTTGTTTAGCCTACCTCCCTAACAATGTGTAACCACCACCCCTTACTTCATTTCCTTTCTGCTTCCTGAAATGCAGGAAGTTGGGTGCAAGTTCTTCTACCCCAGGTTGAAGCAAGGGAGGGAAAACTGGGGAGGGTACAACCACACCAGAGGTCACTGACACCAGTCATGGTGAGGGACACACCCTGGGTCCGTGGAGAGGCAGCTTCCTGTCTTAAAAAAAAAAACATTACATCATCAGAAACTGAGAAAGCAGTGATACTTTCTAAATTATTTCAGCGCATTTTTAGAGCAGGGATTTCGTGCGACACAAAACACAATCTCAGCTTTCATCAGTCATTTGTGTCTGATGTGTTGCAGATGTTTGTGTGAGCGTGCAATCAGTCCGGAAGTGTGTGCAGCATCATTGACCCACCTTCAGTTGTCCTTCGCTGCTCCTTGCTCGTTCCCACACACCAATCTTTTATTCAGCACCGTGTGTCACTTCCTCATACATCATGGCAATGTATGTGTGTGCGTGTGTGTGTGTGTGTGTGTGCGTGCGTGCATGTGTATGTGTTAGTGTCCTTTGAGGCTCTTCAAGTGGCTCTCCAACACAAAAAGACAGTAGTTCAAAAGAGTATGGAGACAATAGCGGTGGCTTGTATGAGTAACCTGTAGTGTACCGAAAGAGACTCTCACCCCCCCAGTTTCTCTCTAACCTTTGCTCTCATCTCCAATTTTCTTTTATCATATCCTCTTCTCTTCTCTTCTCCTCTCTGATCCTGTCTTCTCCCTGTCAATCACTTTTCAAAACTGTCACTCTCATGACTTCATTTTCTACTCTCTTGCCCTCTTTTCCCTTTTCTGTCTCTCTTCTTCTGTTTCTGTCTCACAGCATCTGTTCCTCTTTCTCTCTATTAGTGTACTGGGTGTTGGCCTTTTATGACCATTCTGGTTTCACTGACATCATCCAAAATACCAGGAAGCTGCTGGTGGGGTCACCACCACCACACATTGCTTGTCTACATTACATTTTTATTTAGTTTCTTCCCAGGTTTAGATGATTGGATATGTTGTTGTAATGTTACATCCCTGTGTTATCATTCATTTTAATGTTAATGCTTATCTCATCCCGTAACATGATAATGATCGTAACCTTGTGTCAACAAATGTTTCATCTAAGGCTTTTCAGGATATTAAATCAACTCACCTGGCCGCCATAAAACTCATGCAACCTAGGGGGTATAATACCGATCCACTGTGTGTAGTATGAACATGTTGTCTGCAGGCTCAGGACTCAGGCAGAATACAGTGTAAAAACCAACCAAATCACAACTTTTTTTGTAAACTTGTTTATAATTTAACAATAAAAACTTGTATCTCAACACAATTTGGCCCATGGGAATTAATCAGGGTAAAGAACCATCTTCACCGGGAAAACAAAAAAGTAAATCGAGGCTGTGAGAAGAAAGATGTTGATAGAATATGTGCGTATCAGTTTAGACATATTATTCTACATGCACCACATGTAATTTTCGACTTTATTCGGACATTAGTCTTATATCTCATTTCAACCTACTTTAAAAAAGTAAATTCACCTTGCTGACATCTTGTGTAAGGAAGCACCTGGTGGCACAGAGCTGTACCTGCAGCATTCAGTGTCACAGGCAGGAGATAGATGTTATCAGCTCTCAAGTGCTCAAAGTGCTCAGCTTTTTTATCTGTGATTTATTGCAGTTTCTCTTCGCAGCTACTGTCTGATGCAGGGGTTGATCCTAGGTGGTGTGTATGTGTGTGTAGACAGTGATCTAAAACAAATCTATACCTTTCTGCTGTGTTTGTTTAGCACATTGATTTACAAACCGCCGTTTACACAGCGCTGGTGCAGCAAACTATCGGCTGACAGATTGTTTTTCCATTCAGCTCAGTCCATTACAAGAGGGGTGGTTAACCCCTAAACCCAATACCATGTCTTTAACCTCAGAATGAAAGGTTTCACTCCACAGTGTGTTTTAGTTACACTGGTGAGACATCATGGTCTGATGATGATTATATTCTGTCAAATGAGCCTGACAGCAGTCAGTTTTAGTTGTTGGGGCTCTACAGCTCCGATCATCTGCTGCTGTACATACATTAAGAAGATCATGAATTAGTTCAGCTACTGAACAAACAGTTTGCAGACTCAAAGTGAAATTAGTTTTGTACAAAAGATGAATCCGGGTTTACACAGTATGCTGTACAAAAATCAGTTTGGAATGAATCTATAATTTGTGAACTGCCTGTGACATTTAAGTTTTCTTCTCTTGTTTTTTCAGATCTTCCCATGGAGTATAATCCCTCAGATCATCCCCGGGCCAGCACCATCTTCCTCAGCAAGTCACAAACTGATGGTGAGTTCTACTCTCTTCTGTTGGCATCTTGCATTTCTTCAAACTCTATCTTTGAAATGTTCTCACTCCTTGATTTGCAAACAGTTGGTCTGTCAGTGAAGCAGTATTTCTATCAGGAATGCATGTGACCTGCTCAGACCAGGTGTGTGTGGTCTAATCCAGAGTGAAGAAATGTCCTGTGTTGTCTAATACTTGCCTGTGTGTTCTGCAGTAAGGAACACATTTAGATGCACATCAAAAATAAGAATTTAATGTGACTGACAATGGCTTTAATGCCCATAAGGAAACATCTGCATTTACGAGTGATTCTTACCAAAATGTGTCATTCACACCTTTTTGAAGAAAAGTGAAATTATACATGTCTAATGCAGTGTTAGTACCTTGAAATGGCAAGTATGAACTAGTTTGTTACAAAATAAGTAAGACCCCTACCCTACGTTATGGATAATTGTGCATGTCAAACTGCTTCCCCACAGCTTTCAAATTATGTGACTCATCAGTAATGTCGCACACACGCTTCAGATCGAAAAGCTTCTCACCACTTTACATGACCTAACTCCCTCAGGACCCCTGTTCCCAATATTCCTCTCCTTAAGTTTTGGCCCCTGATATACTCTGTGTGCCTTTGACCATGCATGTTTTTGTCAATTGATGTTGGCCTCAGTGGTGTGGCACCTGTTGACTCAAAGAGCAGCCATGCCATAAGTGGCCGATTGCACATCAAGCGATTGGGCAGCTTGCAAAGATGTATCTTCAAAATTCAAACTCATTCAAGTCAAGAGATGACTCCTACTTTGTGGGAAAGCAAGGTGTTTCATTGATGCAGAGATTTCCAATATGCAGCTACACAAAAGTACCCTTGACCAGCATCCTTTTATCCTCCATAAAGACTCCAGGCTCCTGTGAAAGCTTCACACCAGCTGCCTTTTCGTCAGTGTTTTGATCATCTTATGTATCTGTCGTCAGGCAGAGGGACTGTCTGAGCCTGTGAGTGACAGCAATATCACATTTAATCAAGTGAGATATGATGAAGTTGTTCTTTGAGACCACCTTTCAGTGCAGAAGTAATCTCTTTACTGTGAGGATAAGCGGCTTAATATTGTTCCATTTACGCACTCTGGAGAAAAACTGGATCAGCTGAAAAGCTTGTAGCCTGAAGGCTGACATATTGATCTGATATTCGGGGCTGATTCTCCACGCTCTTTTATTAGCCTTATCAAGCTCTTGTGTGAATGTGTGCTGGCCTATTTTCTCAACGTATTGCACATTCATACCAACACAGGATGACACACAATATGGGCAGTTTTGGAAACACTTGAGAATCCATTGTGCATCTGTGTCATAAGTAAACATAGAGACAACTTGGACTTTTGTTTTTCAGTTGCCGTGCCCAACAAGAGAGGTAAGCATGAATGTGTGTGGTCTCAGTAGGCAGGCAGCAGTATGCTCACTGTGTGTTTGGGCTAGACACTTCATGTAGTCTCAAGCTTTATTGTATTATTGTACTTGATTTGTATTGTCATCTGTTTGCAGGTCATGTGTCTTTGCTGCTGAGCTACTGATATTCTGTGTGTGTGTGTGTGTGTGTGTGTGTGTGTGTGTGTGTGTGTGTATATGTTGGGCCATAATTAATAGGGCTGCATAGCCTTGTGTTTTGATGACTGAAATGTCACGTGTCATCTTATTTTTTCTCACTAGCAGTGTTTAAGAAATCTTTGCTTTTGAGAAGATGTGAATGTTTACAGCGTTCATCCTGTTGTATAAATAAATGATAGCATTATATAAACATATATGTGCATATATATATATATATATATATACAAACATATATAAAAAAATAATAATATATATATCTATTTATTTATATATACTAATATATCAATATAAATATATATATATATATATATATATATATATACTATATTATATTTATAATATTTATATATATATATTAAGTATATATATACTATATATATATATATATTTTATATATATATATTTATATATATATATTTGTTAATGTGACTTTTTTTCACAAAAATATGCAGCCCTAATTATGACATAAGAGCCGGCTGCTTTTTACTAGAAAGCAGCACACACAGTCACTCAGTGGGAAAAAATGTGCATTACAGTGTGTGTGTGTGTGTGTGTGTTTATTTGTGTGTGTGTCAGAGAGGTGAGAGACAGACTACCAGGATGAGAGGTGCCAGACAGCTGATGACGTCACTGTGTGTGACGCTGTGCTCTGTATTTGCGCCAGTTGTCTTTGCCTTCCTTTTCCCCTCGTGTGTTTTCCTACATCAGAGCGAACAAACATATACACTTATAGACACACATGGATACACAAACAGACACCGCACTGACACACAGCTGTGTGTGTGTGTGTGTGTGTGTGTGTGTGTTATGCAATATTTGGAATTACACCTCTCATCCCGGTACGACAGCTCTATAAAATGAACAAATCGTTATGTCCTCTAAGCAGAATTAGCAAATGAACAGATTCTTGTGAACAGAAAGAAAATAGATGAGCTCAAATGACAATCTGCACTTGAATTAAAACAGTCAGTACGCTTGACTTAATTTGGACTCACATAGGGCCAAAATGATGAATGGATTAATTAGTTAGCTCACTCTCATTCCCACACATTAAAAGACAATTTCCAATGTATCAGGGGATGAAGGCATTTGAGTAAAGCATCAGCTGTGTGCTGAAAGTGCTTTGCTTTGTTTAATGCACTGTAGTATAATTAGAGGAAAAAAACTGTTCATCCAATATCCTCTCAATATCTGTGATGGGGAACTTTAACCCTGGATAAATGCTGCTCCCTGTCTGTCAGGGCAGTGTACTGCACTGACACTGAGCTTGAATGTGTGTTTACCGCTTGCTACATTACTGAGACCTGTCCCTCCATCTTTCTTTCAGTTCGAGAAAAACGGAAGAGCCTCTACATCAACCATGTAAGTAAGATGAGGGACATTGTGAAAGAGTTAGTGAATGTTAGTGTCATTATTTAACTGTGAAAAGATCTGCTCATTTAGAATTGTGGTAATTATAATTGTGCAGATGGTAATTTTAATGTCTTGTATTTTTTGCAAGTTCACACACATTTCGGAGAACAAGGTAAAGTCCTGAGAATAAACCTTAAAAATAATCCAACCCTTTTGTCATCGTCCTGCACCCAAACCCCCCTCCCCCACAGATTCCACTTATAGTCTTACTCCCAGATGTACTTCAATGCCATTATTTATATAAAAGTAGTAGAAATTATTTCATCACATTATGGTGTAGTTCATCTTTGCCCATTACTCCCTCAAAATATGCAATTTCAATGATGAACCAGTAAGGTTTTTATCTGAAAATAATAAACATTGTTTTTTTTATTTTGAATAAATTGCAATTATTCAGTTCCTGGAGGAAAGAACTGAACTATCCACACTTTTGCATCAGATGACAAGTTCACCTGAATAGTTAAATGTAAGGGAGAAAACAAGGTTTCTGAGATTTTTATCAGCAACAATACAATAATGCTTTTAACCTGATAGAACACTTGTTCAAAAATGCACCATGAGAAAATAAACCAGAACAAAATGAAATGAAAGGACAATTCTGTTCTTATGTTTTTTATTTATAGTTATTTATTTTTATAGTTATTTTATTTAATTCCCAGTGAAATTAACCGTTTCAGTGCACTGATGTCATATTTGACAATAAAGTTTATTGGCCAATATATCGATATCGGAATTTTTTTTACTCCCTAATATCGCCATCGGCCCCAAAAATCCAAAATCGGTCGGGCTCTACTAAATAGAAGTTTGGGGGTTTGTCTAAAGATGGACTTCACCATAAATGCCATTGCCGCATGCAGCCATGTCAGATGCTGACTGAGGTCAGACAGAATTAGTTTGTGAGCTTACAGGTGCCGTACTTTCCATGGCTGTTTACAGGCGTTTTGGCAGGTCTGAGTATGACAGAAATAGAGATTGACATGCATGTGTGTTTGTGTGTGTGTGTGTGTGTGTGTGTTTCTGTGACTGTCTGTGTGTGTGTTTGTATGTACTGTATTTTTGTTTGTGAACTCCAGCATCATCCAGGTCCAGTGAGACGGAAGTACAGCTCATGTTCCACCATATTCCTTGACGACAGCACCGTCAGTCAGCCCAACCTCAAATACACCATCAAATGGTAACTTTGTCTCCTTTTCTGCCAAAGATGGAGTAGCTCATTGTCTGATAATTAATTTCTTTCAGCATTGAGGAGAAGTGTTGTGGCTCATTTTCCTATTATCCCAGTTTTATTTTGAAATTAATTTTCATTTCTCTTTTTTTTTGTCTTTACAGTGTATCCCTCGCAATATACTACCACATAAAGAACAGGTATGATAAGTGTTTTCAGTCATTCATTCAGGCTGACAGACAAAGCCAAACTTAGCAGAGAAAAATGCCCCTTATGGCTTATGTTGAAGGCTACATCCACTCTACTACGGTTTCATTTTAAAACAAAAACGATCTCCATCCAGATGACCGTATTAGCTCCAAATACTGGGCATTCACGTGCCAGTGTAAACAAGAAGCGGACTGTCCACTCTGCATTTGGGTTGTCCAGTCCAGACTACAACGCAACCCTGGAATTTTCAAACTAAAACGGGTCCAGCAGTGTTTCCAAAAGTCTCCATTTTAGTAGCTCAAAAACTGCAGAGTAGTGTGGATGTCAGGCGTAAAGCAAAACAAATGTGTTTTAAAATTAAAACGTAGGGTTGATGTAGCCGAAGTGTCAAGCTCTTTAGATACTCCATATGAAGCACGAGTAAACAGGGCATCGTTTTTCCAAGAAATATATTCTTGTTCAGTGCGTAAAACAATGGACCTCCCAAGAAACACTCATACGGACAGATATTTTCTTAAGAGATATGTATGTACGAGTTAGTTAAGATTTTGTGGCTTTCACCAATTTTCTTATTGGTGTGAGTGAAATTCACAAGTGGTCGAGACCTGTCATATGCAATCAGTATCTATATTCACTGTAACTGGCAGGAATCTGATGTAAGGCAGTTGTTTGAAGTGCAGACGTGCGCCCATAAAAGGCTGATTGAACAGGAAATATTTCAGAGGGTAGATGAAGTCGTATTTTAAATGAAATGAGTTTCACACCATCTGTTTTTTTATTTCTTTCACACTCTGATGTTCTTCCTCTCCGTTTGTCGTTTCAGAGATGTCGACGGAAGAATGCTGTTAGACATTTTCGACGAGAAGCTGCATCCGCTGTCTGTAAGGCCTTAGCTGAAGATAAATTTCCATTACGCACATGCTGTAGAGTTGTCAGGATTCATCAACAAGACAAACCACACAAACTGATGAGCAGCAAATAAGCCCACGCAGATCAAACAGTTGGGAAATCTGTCTAGTAATCTCTGGAGCCATCTGGATCATTCAGATGTATTTTCAGTTGAATTTTTGCAGGGTTTTAATCCAAGAATTTACATAACCACTTTGCCCGATGCTCCATATCCAAAGCTACAGAGCACTCCATTCAAAATGAATACTCATCTATAAGCAAAAGTCTCAACTAGAAGCTTGTATTTCCATTGTGGTAAACAGTCAGATCAAATTTGAACCTTATGTTTTGGTGTTTTGTTTTTATTCCATTTCACTGAATGTATTGTGATTATTTATTCATTGTAGAAGTCTGAGATTCCTGCTGATTATGACAAACACGACCCTGAGCAGAAGCAGATCTACCGCTTCGTCAGGACGCTGTTCAGCGCCGCGCAGCTCACCGCTGAGTGTGCAATCGTCACACTGGTGAGTGTATGCATGTGTGTGTGTGTGTGTGTGTGTGTGTGTGTGTGTGTGTGTGTGTCTGTATTTCAGTGCTCACACTAGGAGGGAGTGTTGCTTCCACATTTTCTTTTGTGCTGTCTCCGGGGACATTCACTCTTGTTTCTGTTGCCATCCATGGACTGTTTTCTCCCATCTATTTTTGGACCTCATTTCTTCTTCTGGAATCGTATGAAATGTTCAGTATATTCCTCCAGAGGTTGTGTTCCCATAATTGTTGAAAAGTTAAGTTCTCACAGCAGAGAATAGAAAGAAGAAGAGGAATTATGACAAGTTTGGTTTGATCCGTGTACTTTCCGCTCAGAACTGTGTAACGTACAGTTCGTCTGTATCTGCAGCAAGCATACAGTTTGGACTTTAATGTACATTAGGCTTTCCCTCCAACACTTATGACATCCTGCAGTGCTCACTTGTGTTGAAAATGTGAAAAACAAAGTCAGCTGTTCTCCACCTCATATCTCATTTTCCTCTTTTTTTTCCTCCACCGGAGAGAAAAAGTTTCTATAGCATATTACATGTGCTTTCTGTTCATCATGGAGCGATTAGAAGCATTAAAAAGCTTTAAATGTAGTAATTAGGAATCTTAATATGTAACTATGATGTTTATTATATTTTTATTTATTCATACAGTTGGATGGTTGGATTAAAATATGATTTAGATTTAAAAGTGGTAAGTTTTAATCCTTTATTCAATCGAGCTTTACTTCCTGTTTTACCGCAGTATAAACTAACTTAAAGTAAAACTTAAATGAATACATAATAGGATTAATTAACATACTAACATTTTCTTTTAAATATATATATATATACTTTTAGGTGCCAAGTTCAGTAGTAAATGAACCCCCCCCCCCCTCATCTGCCCAGAAACATCTCTTTCCACTTTTTGTCGCTCTTGCTGACACGTGTGTCCCTGGAGACTGGGAAGCGTAGGGTTAACATGAACGGCCCAGTATTGGGTTGCACTGCTTCTTGACAGTTGCACAAACGTGTGAACTGCATATATGGGTGGATGTGCGTTTGTGGCCAGACTAACTGGAAAGCAGTGACACAGGCATACTGTACTTATGACATGACTGTATTTGTGTCTCGGCGTCTGTGTACCGATGGTCTTCACCAAAATGTCTTAGCATTTTAAGTATAAACTCCAAACCATCAGTAACCATATGCATTTCTGAGTAACAGTGTATAGTAGTTAAAAACAACCACCAGTTGGTGATGAGATCAAATTGATTCCTCTGTTTAACTGAGTGAGCCATAAACTTCAAATCAGATGTTGGCTGCTTTGGTTTCCCATTGGTATTAATAATAGATGTGATGTAGTACTCTTAAAGGAGCAGGTTACTTTTTAAGCACAAAATCTCTAGAAGTAACAGAAATGCTTAATAGTATTATGTTGTTTAATCATTATCAGACATTTTCATTTGACAGTTTTTTATCCAGTAAGAACATACTCTGTTTCAGAAATGAGTCTCATCCTGAGCTCAAAGGTTTATTTCACCTTTGAGCTCCATGGAGACCAGTTGATCTGTGTAGTAGTAAAACCTTATCTGCATTATTTGCCCAGGAATCACAACATTGAATCATTTGGCTTTAATCTGGTTGCTGTTTGCCAACCACACTGCCTCTATATTCTTTGTTGTGCTTGCTTGTATAGTTTTCTCTCTGTGTGTTGTTGCATTCATATCACTTAGCATGTGGGCTGGCTCTCATTTCACGAGGGCTGTCTTCAGTGTTTGCCGCCTGCTGCCAGATGAGTGTATATGTGGTGTCTGTTGGCAGTCTCTGGGCCACAACAGAGATAGGTTAGCATTGCCTGCAGGCACGGAGCCCGACCCAGCATGACTTGTCCAATTAGCCACCTGAGCTGTGCGAATGGGCAAGTCAAACCAGGCTGCAAAATAGGATGAAAGAATATTTTCATTTCTTTTTCACAAAATCACACCCTTCTCTCTGCCCCTCCTATTGTCCAAACCACAAGGGACCATTATATGTCAAGTAATTACATAGTAATGATCCTCTAGCACATGACCATTTACTTTCTAACAGTGTTCTTGGATTCTGCCCATAATACTGACAGTTCTGCCACTGTGCAGATTCAGACAGAGTTATAACAAGTGGAAAGCACAGCATGTTCCACTCTGCCATAAAAAATACAGCATCTCTGCTAACCCAATTACACTGCTGTCCTGTCAGACTTCAACTCTGCTAGTTTTACTGTAAGGGCTGTGAATTCAGATCGCTGTTGAGACTGCGGTAAATTTCACTCATGGAAAAATGAAAAAATGAAGTCGCTAATTAGTTATGGAAAAATGAGTGTAACTACAAGAATATGATGTAATGTTTGGATTAAAATCATTGTTCCAGATTTTTAAAAATTGCATGTTTAAATTGTCAAACGCTAAAATATTACAACTGGCAGTAACACAAAATCATAGATTGTAATATAAAACACTTAGGTTAAATATGTAAAAGATAATATAATTATATAATATAATTATTAATATAAATATAAAGTCTGAACATTTTTATGCAGCTTTTTTTGAGAAAACTCACTACAGGTTCCTTCTGGCAACCACTATAAAATGTAATAGAATATATTCTCTCATAGAGTCCAACAAAATGATGATCAGTGGATCAGAAGGATGAGCTTCTGTCCAATTATTCCAGCTTGTAAGGAACAGGTGCCTGCGGGTTCGGTGTGCTTTGTGATCTGCGCACAGTGGGAATTCTGGCTACTCAAAGAGAGAGAGAGGGAGTGAGAGAGAGAGAAATGGAAATGGGGCGGGAGGCAGAGAGATGGAGGGGTTCGATCCACATGGATATTTTATGAACACGCTCCAGGGAAGATTTCATCAGCCTCTGACATCTTGTTATTGTGGTTTTTACCCGGAGGTGAAGTAGGCAGGAAAACACAAAACAGCAAAACAGCAAAACTAAGTCTACCAAGGATTTGTAGACACATGCTACTTACATAGGAAATGGATTGATGTGTTTTTTTATTATTTCATTTACTTGAAATGAAGTACACTGATGGACAGTTTAGTGGATTGACCCAGCCTGTCGGACATTGTACTGATTAAACCGAAGTCATGACCCAGTTTGACCATCTCTCATTTCACTGCAAGACCTTGTTTTATTGTTGTTTTAATAATGTGTTCAATCTTTGGGAAGAACAGGCTTCTGTCATGTACAGTATAATCGTTTTATGTTCAAACTTAACTTTGAAACTTTTAACGAGATACTTACATGTGACACGTGTTTGTCTAAGGTGTATTTGGAGAGGCTCCTGACCTACGCCGAGATCGACATTTGTCCTGCCAACTGGAAGCGCATCGTGTTAGGAGCCATCCTCCTGGCATCCAAGGTGTGGGACGACCAGGCGGTCTGGAATGTGGACTACTGCCAAATTCTCAAGGATATCACTGTGGAGGACATGTGAGTCGCTGAGAAAACGCTCACAAAATTGCATATTGTTGATATGTAGGTAGTCGAAAGGGAACTCAAATGTAATGCACACACAATAGAAAGGCCTATAGATTCAGGTCAGTTACACTAAGCTGATGTTTCTGTGTTATGAAGGTGGCAGGAGATATAAATTAAATAATTCATGACCTTTATAGCCAACTTTTCATTACTCAACTTCTATTGGGAACATAAAGTAAATTGGCTACAGCTGATATTTCACATAATAGCTTCCTGGTTCTGTTTTTGTGTTGAAGCCAAGAGTTATGCTGCTGGTAAATGCTATTAACAGGCATTGGAAAAAAAAAAAACACTAAGCATCGCACTCTAATTCCATTACAGTAAGGACTGAGAAAACACCTGATTCTGAGGTTTTATTTCTGGCCAGAAATGCGCTGCACAACATGTGCTTAGTTGGAAACTGGGTGGTATTAGAATAAACACATTATCAGTAGGTGTGAAACGAGCTGAAATCAACAACAATCACCTCTCTTTCTTTCCTGTGGAAGCAGTCTTCTGTGGCACGGTGCTGCAGTGATTTTGTGATTGAAAGAGCCGTCTGGAGAGGTTCCATCACAACAGCTTCTCTCAAAGGAAAAAAAAAAAAAAAAAAAAAAAAAAAAAAAAAAACATTAAAAAAGCGGCTTGCGTGGGAGGTGCAGCTTCACATGACTGAATATACCATACGAAGGCTTAAATAAAATTTGCATATTAGAACATACTGTAGCATATTTTCTGAGATAGTAAGAAACAGTTCAGTGAGGGGTGAAGAACCCCAGAGAAGAGGCAACAGGAGTTAACAACCAGCTGAAACCAGCCCTGTCTAGAGGATCCGGCTGCCTCCACAAGTCTTATTGTGTGTGTGTGTGTGTGTGTGTGTGCATGTGCGTGTATTTGCGTGTGTGTGTGTGTGTGTGTGTGTGTGTGTGTGTGTGTGTATGTATGTGTGTGGTGCTTACAAACAGAACTTGCAGGCATTCAAACCACATGTGTATGTATACCATCGTAAATGAAGCTTATGTTCCCAGCTTGAGGGCGTTAAGTCGAAGACAGATGGGCCATGGATAGGATCTGTTCATGTCACATTTATGCAGCTCAAAACATAACTGCCTTGAAACTAGGGCTGTAACTAATGATTATTTTATTATCGATTAATTAGCTGATTGGTCTTTAAAATGTTTACAAAAAGAAAACTGTCCCGAAGCCAAAGTTAACATCTTTTCTGTGGGGTCCAAAACTGCAAGATATTCAGTGTACTTTGGAAAAAAAGCTGAATTTTTATTGACTTGCTTCAGCTCTGTTTGAAACAAGCATTCTGACCTTACTTGGTATCTTGGTTTCAGCCACTGTTATTCAGTGTTCCTCTGTTCTACTTTACTTGTCTTCACCCCAGCTTGTGACAAACAGTCAGGGTTTTTCTGTGCTCAATATAGCCTGAGTTTGTGGGGTCAGCCTGGGTTCAAGAGGTGCTGAGAGTCACTTGTGTGGTGGTCTGGACATGCTCAGGTCGACCTCATTGCCCATTTTGTCTGGCACTCTTTGGCTGTCATCTGTTGTGGCTCGCAGACTGGTTCTTGAGCCAAGAAACAGTATGATAAAGGATCAGGACGCAGAAAATACAGTCTATCCTTTGTTAGAAGAAGATTTATGCAGCTCACAGCTTATATCCGCTCTTCTTGCATCTTTCTCTATAAATAAAAGTCAATAATCCACAATATCGAGTCGCCACGTTTATTAGTCCCTCAGAAGCTGACAATAAGAGATACACTTACTGGACATCGACTTAAGGGGTCTCTCTGGAGCAAAGACCTCTGAAGCAATAGACTGAATAGTTTTTCGATTAGATTAAAAATGCAATTGGACATTGCTGTGTGTAATATTTAATGAGTACTCAAGACGGGGAAGAGGTATCATGAGCATGAGGAGCCAACACTGTCCTGTACCACATCCGCCTCAAATCCACAGGAATGGTTGGATTAATCTGAGGGGGAACATGATACTGTAGACGTGTTGCCACTGCTACAACCTCTGACTTGTGCTACATTCTCACTCTTCTGCACCAGTGGCTGTATATTCTCGTCCTTGGGCTCAGATTCACTCAGCCAACTGACTGTAATCCACCTGTGTGGGACGCTTTCCAGCGGGAGGAGCCCGGCATGTGCTTCTGCCGCGCGCCCAAATGGCAGTTTACTGGACAGTGACTCAGTGTTTGACCACAGATTTCCTCGGAAGATCAGTTTTATGTTTTTTTAAATCCCTGCTCTGGAAGCTAGCCTGCTGAATTCCCCTCTCCACCTCCAGCCGTAAAATAACTGGAAGAATTATAGAGGAGTGGAGAAACCCACAAAGAAACAGATGAGAATAACTTGAATGAGTGCCACAGCCAGATAAAAAAGAAGCAGTATTATTAGGCAGTTTGGCTACAGTGGAGTCTAAATTTAGCTTGTCTGTTGCTGCACGCCTGTTAATGTGCATGGGTTGGGGAACAAAGGCGAGGAGGAAGAGATGGATCTTGCTTCTTTTGCAGGTTACCATGCAAAATGAATCGGTCATGACTGAAAAGAAATAGATGAAAGCGGCTGTCATTGCGCTGCTCAGGGGATCACAGAGCGTGAGGAAATGCATGACAATAGCATTTTCAAGATGTGGGATTAATATTCTTTCTCGCACATAATGCTCAGGGCTCCGTTGCTGTTGCGTTCCCTGTCGTTATGAAGAAAGCCTTATGTTTGGTGGGCGTACTGGGGATTTACTCGGTGCTTGTGCATTGGCACTGTACATGAGAGGTTAACACCCACTGTCTGTAATAGGTGATGGATTTGCCAAGATGGTCTCATGAGTATCCTCTGTCTCCTCTTCAGTCTCTCTGTACAGGAATTCTTTGTAGACATGGTCGAACTAATTCTGTTTGAATCTCGCTCTTTGTAAATATCTTTTTTTCAAGCATTTCTCACCTCACACCTCCTCTCTCGCTCTCTCCCTCCCCCCCTCTCTCTGCTAAAGGAATGAGCTGGAGCGTCAGTTCCTGGAGCTGTTGCAGTTCAACATCAACGTGCCGTCCAGCGTCTACGCCAAGTATTACTTTGACTTGCGCTCCCTGGCTGAGGCCAACAACCTCAGTTTCCCCCTGGAACCTCTCAGCAGGGACAAGGCCCAGAAACTAGAGGTGAGTAGTACACACACAGGAAAGTGGAAGCAGATTTACATTTTGTTGAGTCCAGGTCATACAGAAAAATTACAAAAACAAAAAAGTCCAATGTGGTGTTGCCTAACAATGAAGCAAGGCCATCTGCGTAATTAGTATTTTTGAACAACAGAACACACATGCACACAAAGCACAGTTGGGTGAAGGATAGGATGTAAGGCTATGTTGCTGTGTAATTAGCTTCTCTGCCTCAACATCTGTCTCTCCCCTCCCTGTCCCTCTGCCTCACTCCAGTTAGCGTTTGAAACACATCTCAGCCACAGCGATGGAGCTGGCGGATGCGTCTGCCTGCTTTTTTCTCTTTTCATCTAAAATAGACCACAGCAGACATGTTGACATTTCAAAGCAGCAAAGCACTGGTTTAATTAACAACATTAATCATGCCTTCATCCCATCCTGTTTTTCTTGCAGTGTGCATGATATCTCACTTGTATGCCTTTCTTATATGTTGATAGATTAGAGACATTTGCTAATGTTCCTAGCTCACCAGTGCTTTTCCTGCTATGATGAGTCAAAATGTCCGCTGTGAAAAGCTGCTCTAAACATATGTTACCAGAGTAATGTACTGAACAAGTGCCAGAGGCTCTGCACCCCCACACAGGTGTGTGTTTTCAGTTGCTCTGGCTGATGAGACCTCTCGTCAGGCCTCTTCAGATCGAAGCTGGGTACAGGTACACCTGGATTTCTGGGATTTCACATGAGTCTATTGACCAGTAGAAATGGTAGCAGGGTAAGGTGTGCTGTCCTAACAGGTGCAACAAAACAAGAGAGTGAGGGAGATGCCGATCAAGTCCCGTTTGTCTGACAAGAGGTGTCATCAGACAACATGAAAGTTAGCATTAGCAGCTGTTTACTTACCAGTCTAGAGGAAACGTTGCAAGTTTAGTATCAAACTTGCATCAACATTCCTTTTCTCACCAAGAGCTGTCACCACCAGTGGAATGCAACACCAGTGTTAACTCTTGTCTCTATCATGTCTTTTTATTCTGCTGAAGTTAGCACGCTAACCAGCTAGCCCCGGGCTTGGCCAAAGCTCGAATCACCAGCACCTGCTCCCGGCAAGAAACCACGTACAGCTGCAGAGAAAACTTAATATTAAAATTAAATTAAATTAAAATATCTCCTTTAAAACATGGAGCAACTGATGATTTCCAGTGTAAGACTACAATTTTCCTGGCTGCAACCATGCCTCACATTAATGCATATTGAATTCTATATGAAAAACTCTTCTCAATATAACAGACTGCCAATAATGGATCTGGTTGGATCTCTTTTTGAAATACCCCAGAACACCTAAACACTTAAAGCCAATAATCATATAAGATGAACCAAAACCAAAATAAATGAGCGAGTGTCCTCTCAATCAAACCAATAGGATTTTACAGCTTGATTATGTCATTTCCAGATGACAGTACTCTTCTCTTCCTCTGAAACTTTTGAAATATTTCCTGTGTTTCGTTCTGTTTTCTGTCTCTTTTCTTTCATACACACTGACAACGATCTCAACCAATTACTTCATCTTCATTTCATTTCTGTTGTGCTTTGACTTTCAGGCCATCTCACGGTTGTGTGACGACAAATACAAGGACTTGAGGAAACTGGCTAAGAAGCGGTCAGTGAGCGCAGACAACCTGATGGTGGTGCGGTGGTGTCCTGCCATCATTTCCTAACACTGGCCGCCGGCAGCACGCAGCAGAGGAATAGATAGACCTGTCAGACATAGTGTATCTCTGCCTGGTAAGCAGACAGACCAAGTGGGCAGCAGTCCTGTGGATCAGTGGGTCTGTCTGGAATACACACACATACACTCACACTCACACACTTACACAATTGGGCACTTTTACAAGTGTGATTGCACCCTCTCTGGGTTGTTGTACATAAAAGAAGTCCCACCGGCTGCCTGCACTGAACCAAACGGAGCTGAGCTGAACCAAACTGAAGTGTGTGAGTGAAAGTTGTTGGAATGACGACCTTGACTGAAGAATAGAAGAAGAGGCCAAATGGAAATACAGCTGAGAATATAAGAGACTGTTTGACATTGGGAAGAGAAAACAGGAACGAGTTCAATGCGAAATACAACTCATGACAGCAGCAACGGTGTTCTATAATTCCCTTTGAGGCTCGACTGGCTAGTACGGTTGATTGGCGGAGGCCTGTACATTCCTTTAATTTTAATCCTCTGGCTCAGTCTGTTTTCTTAGCTGAAGCATGCCATCGGTTTCTGACAGCTTGCAGGCACATCTAAAATTTTAAAGCTCAAAATTTTCCTCAATTTGTTTTAGTGTTTTGTTGTTCTCTATCTGTTTGTTTGCATTCCCATCCAGCAGAAACCTCAAGCACAAAGATGAGACGTGTACATTCCACCATTAACTTCAGAGCACAGTTGATAAATTTGACTGGACTGCATATCATCAACTCCTCCTTCGCTAAACATCCCATTTTCATCGTAGCCATTTAACTGACGTTCTCAAAGTTCTGTCAAAAGCAATTCACTGTTTAGCTCAAGGGCGCTTTGATGGGATGCGGGAATTCAACTTCCAGTCACAGAACGGTTTGTCTTTCAGCAAGGCCATCCAGCCATCATCCAGATACAGCTGTTCACTTAAAGCAATATTCATGCATCACTTTGTTGTTGGGTTTAAATACAATAAAGCATGTGCACTTGGGAGAAGACTGACTGGAAGATGGGGGAGGGGGGGGGGTCTACTACTCCGAGACAAATGTGAGACATACTGTAGAGCTTCTGTTGTACTTTATTCACTGCCATTGTCCTGACCTGTGGTGCCTGTAATAAGCTAGTTTAACACTTCTCCCCTTTCTACTGGAGGAAAAGAACAAATAACTGAAGTATTTTTTCTTTAACATTTTGTATGGTTCTTCCAGCTTACAAACAAACAGCACAATTGGAATATCGACATTTAGAAGCCACTAAAAGCATGATTCTTCAGGGTTGTTTGTTTTTTTATGTTGTTCTGGAAGGGACCTAAATGAACGAATAAACGCATTAAGTGACAATTCAGACACTGCTCACGAAAAGATAGATTGTGAAAATTTTGCTAAATTGTCTCTGTACAGTGTAAATACAGTGCCAGTGTGCAAATCTGTAGACTGAAGTCGTACTGTAAAAAAACCCACAAAAACCAGAATGATGTTAGAATATTTATATTGGATCAGTTTTTACTGAAAATGAGGGGGACAGTAAATAAGAGAAGTATTAAGATTTAAATGGGAGACACCACTGAAGATTTTTTTTGTCTGTTTTCTTGTTTTGATGTTTCTGCACAGCAGGAAATGCCAAGTTTTTATGTGTTACATACTGTATATGATATATAGATAATACAAGACAATTCAGGCTCATTGTATTATTTGTTGTCAATTTTTTTTTATCCCCACTCTGTGGAAACATTGCCAGATTCATATGTTTGTGATTAATAATCCTAACTCCTTACGGAGCCCTGAAATTGACAAAATGGAGTAACGAGTTCTCAGAATAATCAAAAAATGTAACTGAGAACATCAATAAATAGTTTTGTTAGTTACATAGTTAAAATAGAATAGAATATTTTTTTGAAATTAAAACAAAAAAGCTTGTGGAAGATAGAAGAGTAAATGAATAATGTTTAAAAATCTTTAGTTAGAGGAAAAGAACAAAACCTTACTCAACATTTTAATTGTTCAGCAATATTATCAAACCTCTACAACATTTTGTCATTATTGGGGCCCCCTAGTTTTTTTTTTTTTTGCATTGACTAGAAATAAGTGAAAAGGCCATAAACAGTTTTTTAAACGAACAAATCATGTCCTGATTTGCTCTTTTCTTGACATTTCTTCAATCAGAAATAGGAAAACATACAGGAATGTAGTAAAGGATAAACCTACAAAACATCTGAAGGTAATTGGTTTAATTAATTCTACTTTTATACGAATACTTCATGCTTTATAATAGTGGTTATTCGCCTTATGATCAGCTGGACTCACACTATTCTCCACTACATCACTCTATGCTTAGAAATGCCATGACATAACCTGGAAATATCTAAAAAGAAATGAACAAAAACGCAAAAATGCGTTTTTTCTTCATTAAGCAAAAGGTCAGAAAAAGGTCTAATTCAGATGTGACATCAGCGTACCCTCCTTCAAGCCTCTAGCTTATTTTGTGCATTTCATCAGCAGCTTCCACATCTGTGATTTAAAGTTATGTCTTGTCAAACTACTAGCGAATCAGTCAAGTCAGTCAGTCAGGTCAGTGAGATTTCCACCCCTGACCAGCAGGTGTGAGAAGGGACAGAACTGTACCAAAGTCGAGGAGAAATGAAGGATGATCCTGTTGGACGTGTTGCTCTGAACCTGCTCTCTTGCACATTAAGTAAATGAAAAGGGGTCAGGACTTGGAAAGAGAGCTGTTGTTCTGCATGGTGCTTTGAATGAGTGGAAAATAAAGTGCAAAATGTGTCTTTAGGAAAAGTAATGTTACTGGAGTTGCTGTTGTGAGTTCAAACTGTTAGAGGTATTCAAAGATTGTATATCCTATTTATTGTATGTATGTGTGCATACAGCCCAGTCTGGTGTTCTCTAGACCCAGAAGTGAGCGTTGATGCCGTACGGTCAACTATGGTGAGTCCTGAGATGGAGAATTCACTCCCGACAGAAAAGACCTTGGGCCTGTGGCGTTCTGTCGGCTGGTTACTAGGTGTGTGTCATAGCCTTGTGCACTGAACTCTACCTCTGCATAGAGTTTTACTTTCCCTTGATTTTTCTTCCTCTCTTCGATGACAATTTTTGGATTTTACAAATTCAGCTTTGATCATGACGATTTCCTGTCCTAACGTCAGTCAACTGCTGTAGCTGTGACCTTTTTTTGTTTTGTTTTTTCATTGATATTTTCAACAAGTTGTACTGTGTTCCGTTTTTATTGTCCGTGTATTATTTCCATTTTAGTGAGTCAGTCATTTGTTCCTGTTCTCAGTTTGCCAAACTCGGATTTCTCTCTCTCTGTTCTCTTTTTCTCTGTATGTTTTCTATTATGATTTAAACAAGTGCTCCCAATCCTTCTCTTCTGAAGCAATGTTTAGAAAAACCTGTGCAAGAATTAAAATTTAAAACCTTGCAATAAACCTAGTGTACATTTTGTTGTTTAATGTGTAGGATCACTTCACCTTTTGGAAGAGGTAATAGCAATACACACATACTATGAGACTTCAAACCATCATTATCACAAATGCTTTTCACTTTGTAGCACAATATTTCGACATGTTCTGTATTGTATAACCGATGTGATCCAGCAGGGTTTCTTCTCCCAGAGAGAACCATTTAAATGGTTTAGAGCAAATGGTAATACAGAGATTACACTCTGTTATATTGTCACTGAGGGACACATTTAATCCTCCATATTAGCCTTGATTTGCATTTCAATCGCCTCGCTGGTAATTGCTATAAAAGTCAATTCAGTGCAATGAAGAGTTGTGAGCTGTGAGCCTTAGTGAAAGAGCACGCCAAATGTCTCTCATGAACTACATCAAACATGTAAAAACAGAATATATATATTGCGTGTGGAGACACTAACTCACCTTTGAAACCATGTCTCAAGCTAAAGAACACATACAGCCTACATTCTGATATTTCTGTTCAGCTGACAATCCAGCTTCATTCTCAATGTCTCAGATTCAGTCTGAGGAGTTATCAATCCACATCCACCTTAGATAATGGATACTGGCACAAAAGCTTTTATTCAGACTGAACGTTCCAGATTTACAACATCTGATTGTGTAAAAGTTGGAAGGACGAGCCTCCCTTAACAGAAGAGGAGCCTCGCGCATCAAGACCACTTATTCCTACGCTTATTTTCTCTCAAGTGACATTTGTGACTTGAGGCTTTTTTTTCTCCTTCATGTCATATGTCTGTGTGCACACATTGATCTGCTCAAAAATAACAGTCAGACACTAACGAGAATGCATGGGTGCATGGAAACACTTGGCGCTCAGCATCACTACATTCGGTGGAGAAATAGGTTGCATGTGGTGGAGTTAGATCTCTAACATGGGAAGGCAAACTGCTGTAGCGAAATAAACAAAATAATTATTAAAGTCAGGCTTTACTGTTTAGCTATATTCTATGCTTTTGAGATGCTAAATAGGCATTAGCAAATAGTTGCCTTTATACAATCTTCAGACATGGAGCAACAGTAGCATTAATTTTGGAGTTGTATTTCAGACAACATGGCAAATATAAGTCCCATGTTCACTCCCCTTTTAGGTTTGTTTTGGTCTCCTCCACAACGTGTTCACCACCCAGTGGGTTTATGAGAATCTTTCTGCTGAGAACAGCTTCCTACAGTTGCTGGAAGCTGATGGGAACTCCAGTGTAAAGTGCTTATTCTCTGGATGGATTCATCATTCGGAATGACTCCTACCATATTACACTTTGCCACTTGTGCTAATATAAAAATATTGATTAGTGCAGCTTTAAGATGATGAAACTGTGTTTGAGCTCTTAAAAGAGCTATTTGTACATTTTGCTATTGCTACATAGCCATTGTCTACTTACCAGACTAGTAGAAACGTTGTGAGTTCAGTATCAAACTTCATTCCTTTTCTCACCAAAAACTGTTTCCTGTGGTGGAAAGCAACCCTCTTGTTTTGCCTCTATCTCTATTACTTATTTTCTTATACTGAAGTTAGCATGCTAACCAGCTAGCCTTGGTTCGGTTGGCCCACCAATCTCTTCACTTTCCGATACCGAGTCACTGTAGTGTCTAGTCTGTCCTGAAGACATAGTGATGCTCGGAGGACTTATCATAACCTCTTGTAAATGCAATGATGGCTGAAGCTCTCGGCAAGACTGGTAATACAGCTGTTAATGCTAAGATTGGCTATATAGCAATAGCAAAACTCACAAATAGCTCCTTTTAGGCCATTTCATTAGTGTTCCACAGGTTCTGTAAAAAATGTACACAAAAAAGAAAAAGAAAAAATGTTTTTTTTTAAATCTGAAGGAGTCTTCCGTGGTTGTTGATGAATGAACAGTTTGGCAAAAGAAAGTAAGATCCTGGTAGAGAAAATAGTGAAGTGGAGCATCAGTTTCTAATTCTGCATCATAATGTTTAATCATGATCTTTATGCCCTATGGCGGAATGTGTTGGCCTGTTATAAAAGCCTTTTTAAGTTGTGTTGGGATGTTTGTGCCAGACCTGTGCATTGACTCAAGGGATCAGCTTTTTAGGTGCAACAGAAACATATCTTAATATTATGCTCATTTCTTCATTGCTAATAGGGGCATGGGGAACAGCTGCAGAATCAGGTGGATAGCCACGTAATGACTGAGGTGGGCAATCGAGAAACCAAGTAGCAGCTGCTGGACAGGTGGGGAATGGCAGAGTCTGAAATGAAAGGATAGTTAGTGTGCATGGAAATGGCACTAACCACTGAAGCTGGAGGCGAGGAGGAGGGGTAGGAGGGTGTTAAACTTCCCTTAGAAAACTTTGCCTGAAGAGTGCCTGAATGACATCGAACGCAACCATGAAGGGCAATCATGCTCCTTTTCATGCCTAGTAATCAATGAGCTGAAAGGCAGATACACCTCTTTGATAAGCCAGGGCTCAGACGCTTTATGGCAGCTATTATTATATTCTCATAACTTTGATGCAACTTACCTTTGTGATAAAAATGAGTGGCAGCAGATGAAACTGAAGATGAGGACAAAGAGTTTGTCCCTGTTCAATTTCTCTACGATGTGGAGCCCAGATCAGTGGCTAATATTGGCTCCATCATTCAAAGGAAGAAAGAAAGTGTGATGAGTTGCAAATACAATACACCTGTGATAGCTGATCACACAACAGGATGTATACAGTCTTCTTCTAGTGGCTGAGGACAAACAAGTGCATTTAATATTACATCAGGGAAGAAAAAGATTTTGATAACTTTTTGATAATTGCCAAACACATAAAATATATACCTAGAAAGTGTACAAAGCTTCACATGGTTCACATGGTTCATAATTACTGTGTGAATGTAAATGTTTAGTGTGGTGCTGCAGCACACATTCAATCAGTGGAATTAATAACAGGTGTGCCTCATTATCCTGTTAGCAGTGACCAAACAGTCTGACAAGGCTGAGGGAAGGGAAGGGTAACACTGTCCTGCAGGAAATAAAATTCTAAAGGTCTTTGTGAGCTTGTGTGTGTGTGTGTGTGTTGTGTGTGTGTCTCTGTGTGTATGTGTGCTAATAGCCAACTTTAAATGTTGAGCGTATCTGTTTGTATTTCATTTGTTATTGAGTGTTTTTGGAAAGGTTGCACCTGTTTAGCTCACCCCATGCTTAACTGAGTAGATGGTACATTCCAGTTTAAGTAAAGAAAACTTAGTCTCTGTTCTGCAGTGGGTGTAAGGTTGGCAGTTTGCTGTGAGGCTGTGGGGTTCATTTTCACCTTAAAGCTGATTTTGCTGAACTTTCTTATGATTTGCCTCTGATCTGTCATATTTAAACTTTTGTTAATAAAACTCCCTTTTAATGTTTCCCAGTTCCAAACAACATCTACTGACTTCTTTTTAATGATTTGCAGGTGTAAAATACTTCTATGTCCTATAGTCAAAAGTTCATTGTCACACATGAATGAATATTAAACAGAACCAGTTACATTGCCAATCTCAGCCTTGTCCACCATTCAAAATGTGCCTCTTGGGTTTTTACTGTGAGCCAGTATGGAAGTGCTAATAGCCACTGATCTGTAGTGATTATGAACAGACCCAACTGTGTTTAGCCATGTGTCCCAGCAGAGACCTTATACATGAGAGAGGGTGCATGCAGCATGTGAGAAAAGTACAGGCGAGAACCTCATTTAAAGTTCAATCTCATTTTGATAAAAAAACTGAAGTGTTAATTGGGTTTTTGATAATAATTACATTACTTTTATCTAGCTTTATTTCATACCCATGTTAAACAAGTATAGGCTATAGTAGGTGCTTATCAGTCATAAACTTGTATCAGCTGTGGGAAAATACAGTTATACAGTCTATTTGCATTTCATGAGCACTAATCCACAGTCTGCATGTTATCTTGATTTATCACTGAACAACGGAGAGTAGAGGTTTTCATGGAGCGGCCGGGATGAACATGCTTGCCATTGTGCTTGAGAACGTAATACAGCAATTTAGAGTGAGCAAGTCAGGAGGCTTGTTCCTCTCCTGTAAGGACGACCGGCAGCACCAAAATATCTCTGCAATGCCAGGATGGCGACGTGCTTTTAGAAGTGTGATAAGAATAGACCCACAATGGGGCTCGCTCCCGTCTTCTGTTGTCTGAGGACAGACAGTTGTCTGCAAGGGACAGAGGAAGAGGTAAGACGGGAGTAATTACTTGCTTCACTCCAGTCTTTCAGAGACTGGAGTGTATCAGGTTGAATTTTCCAAGCCGGACATGGGACATACTCCATCCAGCAGAGAATTGGAGTTTCAGACTGCCACTGGAAACTTTGTTTGCGGCCACCTGGAGGTTATTGTGCTACTGGAGATCACTGTGCCTCTGGGTAGAAAGGGTAGATGTGGAAAAAGGAGAAGTAGCTGGATAGGGAGTGAGGTCCTGTCTTAAGAGTTTACCCTGTGGCCCAGAACTGGAGGACTGGAAGATTTTGGAGGACCTTGAGCACAGCAAGCATGGCAGGACCAAGTGCCTCTGAGGTCATCTTCATCTCTGTCAATCACAGCATCACTTTGATGGGTGAGTTGACTTCACTGATAGAGATTAGCTGGTTTCTGACTTACGTAAATAAAAAAACACTCTTGTATTATGTTTATGTGCATGGAAATATTCATTTTTATGAGTTTATTGGGTCTCGAGTTTAGCATGAAATCTGCAAAAACACGCATTAATTCACAAATCAGTGTCAAATCAGCACATTTTTAGAAAAAAATTTGAACCTGCTTTACTTTCAGGGAAGGTGTGGCTCATTGTGATGATCTTCCTCCGTGTCCTGATGCTCCTCTTTGCTGGTTACCCTCTCTACCAGGACGAGCAGGAGCGATTTGTGTGCAACACCATTCAGCCTGGTTGTGCCAATGTGTGCTATGATCTGTTTTCTCCCATCTCTCTCTTTCGCTTCTGGCTGGTGCAGCTTGTCACCTTGTGTCTCCCCTACATCATCTTTATCATCTACGTGGTCCATAAGGTCTCAAATGGCCTCACTGTGGACCTGAACTCCTCCGGTCACATCAAAGCCATGCCGCTGTTCAAGATCCACCAGGAGCCACTCAGCAAGACGCCCGTAAATAAGATGCCTCTGGTAGCTGAGCAAGGTTGGGCCCGGTGCTTCACAGGAGCATACATCCTACATCTGATGTTCAGGACTTTGCTGGAGGCAGGGTTTGGAGCAGCTCACTACTATCTCTTTGGTTTCTACATCCCAAAGAGATTCCTGTGCCAGCATCCACCGTGCACTACCCAGGTGGACTGCTACATCTCCAGGCCCACTGAGAAGACTGTGATGCTCAACTTCATGCTTGGTGCTGCTGCTTTGTCCCTTTTCCTAAATGTGTTGGATTTCTTCTGCGCCATCAAACGCTCTGTGAGGCAGAAGAGCAAGAGGAAGATGATGGTGAAGAAAATCTATGAGGAAGAGCAATGTTTCCTGTCAACCGGAGGAGCTTCCAGGGGAATGGACCTAAACGCTTCAGGGGCTCAGCAGGATTCAGAAGAAGCTGGTCAGCTGGGGAGCTTCCGGAAGAGGCGAGGCAGCAAGGGCTCTTGCAGTGCAGGAGTGCTTGCTTTAGGTCCGGAACCACCTTGTCTGGAGCACCCCTCTCTTCCTCGCTCTCCAGGACCTCCAGGTTTCAACACCAATGGGAACAACGGCTATTCTGTTACCCAAGAGGAGGCTCCAGAAAGGAATGGCAGCGAGGTGGCTCTCTGCCCTCCAGAGCCAATGGGGACACCCAGGTCCATTCGTGTTAGCAAACGCAATCGACTCAAACCGCCACCTCCGCCCAGACGGGACCTCGGGTTGCTTCCTGGGGCATCAGCAAGGCCCACTGGAGATGTTTCCACAGCAGCAACAATCTGTACCAGAAGGGTGGGTCAGTATACGCTGGTGGAGATGGGCAGCAGTACAGAGCTACAGACCAACGATGATGGACAGGAGAAAAGATCAGAGTGGGTTTGACTGTTGAGGGTTTGACCACTTTATTTCCAGGTTATTTTGGAACATAAGAATAAGGCATATAGGTTTACACAGTGGCAGAAACTACGGGATCTGACATCCTGCCATGCCCTCTACCTCATTTTACAACACAGACTGAACTGTCACTCCGGGAGAATCCAAAACAGCGGTACATTCAGCAGACACCTTTAAACATATGCGGCGTCAGATCACATCGCCTTTGAGGAGAGTGCATTTTCTCGCCCGGTGATGCAAAGCAACAAGAATTCAAGTCACAAATTCAGACTCTTTTAACAAGGAATGAGAGGACACTCGAGCCTTAAGCGTCCTAGGGCAAATCTCAACCTTGAGAAAATCTAAAAGAGTGCAGCCCACCTGTTTGCTCCCTTGTTGGCTTTACCCCCACCTCCAATGACAGACTGTACATAAACAAAGGCAGGCCTTGACCTGCACCACATACACGAACAACCTCCCCCCCTACCACAGTTATTCTATATGATACTACCAAGACCCTCTCTGTTGTGCGTAGGTCACAGGGTCATGGTGGACGCAGGTAGCCTCTAGGCCCTGTGCTCTGATGTTTGGATGACCTTTTGGACTAAGAAGGTCAGCCTGATACTAAAGACAATCTTGCTAAGATGCTGTTACTGGGCTCATATTAGAGAATAGGATTCCTCTGTCAGAAGTGAAGGACACTATGAAGTCCCCTAAAGCCGACGTAGTCTCACAAAGCAATTATGTTTCCCCATAGGAGCTCTGTATTTATGGAGACAGCTTGTCACTCTATTTCAGGGCCTCATGGAGCTTAGGAGGAATACAAGCCTTAACATACACTGACACTAGAAATAGAGCACAGCGCAGCTCTGCAAAGGAGCAGCGTTGTCTGTTGCCCTTCAGGACATCTGCACCCGGCTTGCTGTGGTTTTGGTTTCACCTTGAGCAAAGTTCACTTCCTAATGTGGGTCAGACACTCATATCCTACTGTGTCACATGTCAATCATAGACATTATAATGTGTTCCTTTGCTGAAATATTTCCAGCAGTGTAACCTGTCAGCCTAGTTTCTGAACATCCCTGACCCTGAGACTCCCTCAGTAAATCAGTGGCATCGCCGTTCGACTGTCGCTCTACACCTGAGGGGCCAGTCTTTGTGTAAATGGATAGCTTTTGATCTTCCTCCTCTTATGGGCTCTTTGAAGCTGAAAAAAAAAGCTCCCGGCCTCATATCTCACTTATCTACAGAGTGCTGCACCCTGACTGTCACAAGGGTGACCACAGGGGGTTTTTCATCAGACCACAGCAGGTCTGACGCTGCTACACCTTCTTCATATGCCCTGTGACTATCTTCGCCAAAGCTGGACTCAGTTACACTTGGTGATTATTGGTGATTGTTAATTTAAAGCCATAATGAAGACCCATGACTTCTTTAATAATATTTTTCACTACGTGCTATTTTATTATATATATGATATATTTGATTATTTTACAATTAAAGATATTGAATAACCAGTGCTGTGCTCACTTTCCATGATAATATTACTATTTATACATTAGGTGCCTAATTTTACATTTACATCAAATCATATTCCAATAAAATTTTATCTTTCATATCAAATGAATTTATACAGTTTCATACACTACTAATGTTACATTCTTTATAAAGTGAGTTTTTGTTTGATCCTTTTTGTTTCAATGTGTTTCACTCACTGACTCTCTAATGTGACGTGATCTCTGTGTGTGCAACTGTTATGGCTGTTCATCAGTGTTACGGAAATTCTATAAACTGCTATGACGTTAAAGATGATGTAACTTTTCAAAGCACTTTATTGTAACTATTCATGTTTTGTCCAGTCTGTCGCACTGTGGTCGTTTCATCGGTATTGTAGCTTGAAGTCATGCTGCCCTCCAGTGACGCAAAATGTGAAATGCTGCTGTATGTTTGAATCCAAAACTTGAAATCAGAGGCTCTGGTAATGTGAGGACTGACTTTGTTATATGAATATTTGTATCCACTGAAAACTTTGTGGCTGTGACATTATTTTATAAAATACATTTTCATAAATATAGGTTATGGTGTATCAGGCAAAGACACTTTAAAATATTTTTCATGAAATTCCTGAGCTGTAGATTTTTTAAAACAACACTTAAGTAGCTTCAACTGACAACAAGAGGTGCAATGTCACTTTACTCGCTCTATTAAACATCAATTCTTTCCTTTGGTTCATTTCAGGCCATCCTGATTAATATTAACAACAGTAAAGTTAGTGCTTCAGAGGTTTTGGGGGGCTGAAAGCTCTTTGTTAAAATGCAGACATACAGGTCAGACTGGCAGGTAAGGCTGAATTTACCTGGGGCAAAATTGAGGTGTGTGGGCCACATTCATGAAGAAGTTTGAGGTGGATATTTTATTGCAGATTTGAATACTATTGGAAAAATAAATGACATGTTTGACTGAGAATGTTCATTTTTTTGCATTTTGGCTGTGTTAATTAAAAATGTTTCAGGCAGATTATGTTTCTCTCAAAACATTTGCTATTGCAGATGATATTGATTGTTTAACTGATTGCATATCAATGCGATTTCATGTATGAATACTTCAAATATTGTGATTAAACACACATTTCTATAATATGAAGCATCTAAAACAGATTTGACTTTTTTTGACAAGTCTGGCAAGAGTGTGAATTATTTGTTTTTGTTTATGCGCAGATTGGTAGTGGCAGTGGTCAGAGTTGACCCTTAATAGATAACAACAGTGACTATGGTAGTGTTTTTTTCAGGCTTTGTGCAGGTTGTTGCATGCAAAGTGGAACGCAGAGAAATATAACATGCATACTGTCACAGGTGTGTCCCATGCTGCTGATTATGCAGCCTGACAAAAAAACAGAGCAGAAGCAAGAAGGGCAAGCGAAACAGAGGGGCTGTTATAGTGCTCATATAGTTGTATAATGAAGGCAAACCAAAGCCTGTCAGAACTTGCTGTGTTTTGCTTTCCTGGGTGTTGGAACTGTGTGTCCGCTCATTTAGATTTAAACATCCGGAGGAGGCAGGGCTGAGAGTTGAGCAACACTTTTAAAGCCAGTTAAGCGTCGGGTCTCTTCAAATCAGCACAATCCGTTCCACCATGTTTGTTTCTTTCATTCTTCTGTGGATCTGTGTTGTCTTCTTCATTCTCTGTCTCAAATGTCGGAGACCCAAGAACTTTCCGCCAGGACCTCCTCCACTGCCAGTGCTGGGGAACTTGCTGAACCTCAGCTTGGACAACCCCATGAGGGACTTTGAGAAGGTAAGAAAAACACTGACATTTAATTCGGACATTGCCTTTAATGGTTATGTTACTGATCATAAGCCGCACACATTCGTACCTGGCAGCTGTCCACTGCACACCACACATTGTGTTACACTCCACAGCAGTGCACAAATTAAATTTGCAGATTATGAATTACTGGGGCAGTCTACTGCCTCCGGGCTACAAGTGACACTGGCTGACTATAAATGCTCATTATTAACTCAACTAAAATGTTTGGAGGATCTGTTCTAATTAAAGGCAGAGGAGGCTTAAGATAAAAAACATATGTAAAGGCCACTATGGTTGTTGGAAGAAATTGTTTTTCTGTCTAAGAGTAAATTTGCTCTACAGTATGTTTTCATGACTGTACAGATGATTGGCTGTAAACTAAATCTGATGACAACAAACCATCCTCCCTAGAATATTCAAACAGATTAGACAAAAAATATTCTCAGTATTTTTCAAAGTACTTGGTTGTGGTTTAAAAGCAGATCTTTTGCATGCTTCATTGGCAATGTTTCATGATCATTTTAAGGGCTTCATACTTGTTCTTTTTAGCTGAGGAGGTGCTATGGAAACGTCTACAGCCTGTTCATTGGTCCCAAACCAGCTGTTGTCATTAATGGGGTGCAGGCCATGAAGGAGGCTATGATGACCAAGGCTGTTGATTTTGCTGGACGACCCCAAGACATTTTTGTCAGTGATCTCACCCAGAATGGTAAGAAAGAGATGAGGTGTCAAAGGACAGAGTGCAGATCACTTAAGATACTCTGTCCGAGCTTCATGTGTCCATATCCATGTCTGTTATAGGAATGGTTCTTGCAGACTATGGCCCCAGTTGGAAGGAGCATCGCCGCTTTGCTCTGATGACCTTAAGGAATTTTGGTCTGGGGAAGCAGTCCATGGAGCAGAGGATTCTGGGAGAGATACAGTACACAGTGGAAACACTGGAGAAGAGCATTGGTATGCCGTGTGTGGTATGCACTCTCTGTGACCTCTGATACAGTGGGCAGTTTATGTGAAGTTCTGTTACAGTTACATGAATCTGTGTTGGGCTGTGTCACCGCACTGTGTCTGTCACAGGTACAATCCTGAGTCCTCGAGTTATGTTTCACAACGCAGCCTCCAACATCATCTGCCAGGTCCTGTTTGGTACGCGTTTTGACTATGATGATGACTTCATCAAAGTGGTTGTTCAGTGCTTTAAAGAAAACTCCAAGATAGCTAATGGGCCTTGGGCTATGGTGAGTCACAACATGTCTGTAAGATAACAAAAAAATACTGCTAGTCAGAGTGGTAGTGAGATCCAGTGATGTTATTTAAACAGCCTAGAGCTCTGATGCTTGTCCTGTTCCAGTGATGGAAAGTAGTTAAAAACAAAAAGAAATTGATGTGCAGTATATGGCAGAACTATGCAGAAACAGTTTGAAAGACAGTTGAGCTTCTGTTATATGTACCAACTCTGTCCTGTTTTGATGCAATGATACATGAAATGCTGTCCCTTTTGGAAATGAAAGTCATAAAGCTTTTAATCACATTCCATTTCTAATTTAACAGTTTTTTCTAAATTACCAACATAAGCAAGCAACTTTTGTATACAATATTAGCAGTGCAGTTGGAATGTTAGCAAGCTAGCTACAAAGCAAAATAAATCCAGCCCATACTTTGGCCATTTTCTTCTGGCCCAGTATATGCCCACTTCCACGGCGCAAATCTAGCCCATATACAGCATGATTGTCAGATGCTACTTCCATATCTGAACCAATTCTGGTAAAGACACAGAAAATCTTCTGGCTGTCAGTATATGGGCCAAAGTCAGGCTTAGTTAGGACAACAAGTTTCATTTTGATATCTGATTAAAATAGGGTTTCAGAATTTTTTATATCAAGGGTACTCAAATAGACATGAAAAAGTGTGCTTTTAACTCCAGATTCAGGCAAATTCCGGCTTTTCACAGAAAAGTTACACAGATGTCCTAGTCATGTTTAGCTAACCTTGGCTAACTTGATGTCACGTAGGCTAGCAAGTGACTTAGCATCCATGAGTGACCGACTCCTGTACTGTTCCTCATACTAATGTGAAGAAGGATGGACCACACCTGCCTTAAAATACTGTTTCAAAATCAAAAGCAGTGTCTAAACATTATAGAACAGTGATTTCTAAAACAATAAAATGCACAAAAAACACAGATTTAGTTTGGAATGCAACCTTTTTATTGTACACAGAAGTTACGTATCTGAAACAAAAGTTTAAACATGTCACCTCTTCCCTTTTCACTGTTAAACTAAATGCAGCTTTCCTTACAGCTGTACGACTTTGTTCCCATGATTCGAAACCTACCGCTGCCGTTCATGAAGGCCTTTAAGAACATTGAGGTTAGTATCTTCATTGGTTCCTGAAGAACTTCCCATTTTTCTCTTATAGCTTTATCAAGGTACTATGCACTCTGGCAGTCACTAAGGTCAGATATGTTACAATCCTGTATGAGGGGGCTTTTTCTCCTGGAAATTTCCCTCTTTTTCGGTCAATGAATTTCTCGTTTCTTAGACATGTAAGAAACTTGCAACTGGTCTGATTACTGAGCACAAAGAAACCAGAGTCCCTGGGAAACCACGAGACTTCCTTGACTGTTATCTGGATGAACTAGATAAGGTGCGTGTCATGCACATAAAGTACTTACGTAAATAACAGAGAAAGAAAGAAAGAAAGAGAGAGACTCAAATATTGACAAAAAATCTCTTTCCAGAGGAGCGATGATGGCTCCTCTTTCTGTGAGGATCGACTCATCATGTTTGTTCTGGATCTTCACTTTGCTGGGACTGACACCACATCCAACACCCTGCTCACTGGCTTCCTCTACCTCATGACATACCCTCTTGTACAAGGTATGCCTGCGCTCTATCGTTCTGGCTTTTGTTCAGTTCTTTCACATTAGCTGTGGTATGTTGTTCTGCTAATTGTAATGTTTTGATGAGCTGTTCAACAGCTCTTTGTATTTGTCTTTGTCTCTATCAGAGCGATGTCAGCAAGAGATAGACCGCACTTTGGAAAAGAAGGATCAGGTCACTTATGATGACAGACACAACATGCCTTACATGCAGGTACATTATTAGACAGATGTTTTGATATTTCACATGCAGACTTGGGTCTTAGTAGCAGCATTTACTGCTAAAACTTCTCTACTCAAAAATACTTTTGTACTTTTGTTTTATAAGAGACACTGGGGAACCAACTGTCAATGAAGTTGGGTCAATGATCCCATGTTTTTGACATAACTTTATGGTCCTTTTTTGTTTTTAAGAAATGCCAATATCCAGCATCTTCACAGCAGATTCCTGCATTACAAGTTCAGTGCTCTGCTCTCTGTGATTTAGCTCCTGCAAAGGTTGAATGATGACCTTTTCCCAGAGTGATAAAACATAAGAACATGTTGTCTGATCTCCATGAATCCAGGCTGTGATCCATGAAGTCCAGAGGATAGCCAACACTGTCCCTCTTAGTGTATTCCACTGTGCAACAAAAGACACAGAGCTCATGGGTTATTCGCTACCCCGGGTAAGAAGCAACTGAAAGCCAGTCGAATGTGCTGTCCCTTTTTGATGGTGCATAAAGTTTTATTGGAAAGATTAAGGTTATAGAAAAACTCTTTCTCTCTCCCTCTGTCTACATACTGTTGTGCCATTTTTTTCCCACAGGGTACATTGATCATCCAGAACCTGAACTCAGTGCTGAATGAGGAGGGACAGTGGAAATTTCCTCACGAATTCAACCCTGAAAACTTCCTGAACAACCGGGGAGAGTTTGTTAAACCAGAAGCCTTCATGCCGTTTTCTGCAGGTATGAGAGCCTGGACCCCAAGTGTTTGTGTTCTGTCTTCTATTCTAAGAACTGTGCACAACTTACTGGATGAAAATGATGTCTCAGGTCCTCGCATGTGTCTTGGAGAGGGCCTGGCTCGTATGGAGCTCTTCCTCATCATGGTGACTCTGCTGAGGAAGTTCAACTTCATCTGGCCTGAGGATGCAGGACAGCCAGACTACACGCCAGTTTATGGAGTCACTCTGTCTCCCAAACCTTACTGCATGAAGGTCCAACTCAGGGCCACACAACAGAATCTGCAAAAACAATGAAGGTTAATCCAAATGGATACAAGTGGCCAGTAAACCAAAGTCCCAGTGACGACGAATACAGTGGAGACAACAGAGGGCTGTTGTGCTACCATTTACTTGGTAATGTAATGGATAATCCAGTCTGCCGTGTGTGTGTGTGTGTGTGTGTGTGTGTGAGTGAGTGAGAGAGAAGTGAAAAAAAGGCTACAGGAAGTGATGGTATGCAAGCTCTGTTGCGGGTGAGTGAATTTAAACTATTTTAACATAGATGTATAGATTACAAAACAAATTATTCTTTCCTAATAACTGCTCCTAATCATTGGTATCTTTATTATGAATAATAATATTAAATAAATGTTCATATCTAATAGCTTAGTATCTTTCATGGTACTATTGTGTGGCATTTGATGAACAAACTGAGAGAATGTTCTTGCCATTGTAAGTCTAGGGGGAAAAAAATCTGGGTAACAGCTCCCTCAAGTGGTCAAGTTTTGGTATTGCATTTAATAAAGTTTCCTTACATGAAAAGTGGCATGGCAAAGCTTCAATAGGGAAAAGTATGTATTTAGCTGCAGTGGCAAGAGAAAGAGTGAAACTATTGAAAATTACCAGGTTTTTGGCATTAATTGGTCATACAATGTGATCTGATCTTCCTCTAAGTACCAAATCCAGACAAAAACTGTGTCTTTACTCAACACACACATCAAGCGTTCAGAGTGCTGGTGGAAAAAGTAAGTGAACCCTTGGATTTAATAACTGGTTGAACTTCAAACAAGCTCCTCCATTAGCTGCAGTTCAGACCTATGCAAAGTTTAGGAGGAACTTTGGACCTTTCACTGCTTCAGCTTTGACATATTCTCACATACTCTTGAGGTCATTTCACAGCGTCTCTATTGGGTGAATGTCTGGACCCTGACTGGGCCACTTGAAAAGGCAGGTTTCCTTAGTTTGAAGTCATTCTGTTTTAGATTTACTTCAGTGTTTAGGACCATTGTCCTGCTGCACACTGAGCTTCAGCAGATGAACTGCCACCCTGACATTATTCTATAATAGGGGTCTCCAACCGTTCTCATGTCTTATATTACCGGTTACATTTTATTCACATATTGTATCAAAACATTCAAACTGATCTCCAAACTGAATCTGATGAATAACAACATCCAAAACTCACATTGTGTACCAAACACATCTGAAATCACATCAGGCAAATATCTGAGTCATGATTGAGTCAAACCTGAACACACAGACATGTGACACAACACAGACATGATAACACTGCTGCAAATAAACGTCCATAAATCTGTTAAATCATAAATAAATCTGCTGAGAAATCAGAGAAAAAAGAAGCTCCTCAGTCAGTAATCCAGTGATAGTTGTCAGTACATCCAATGGTACAGTACATAACAAACAGGGAGTTAAAATAGATAATTCGGTACACTTCATTTTCCAGACATGTAAATAAACATGGGCTAAAAAAAAAAACTGGGCTCAAGTCGAAGCTCACAGTTTAACTCACTTCATCCATGGCAACATATTTCCTGTTTGTTGGTAAAGTTTAGTTTGTATCGGTTCTGTTATCAGAAGAGTTACTATCACTGCATGTAGCCTACAGCATATCTGATGTAAACAAAGTAATGATTTGGTGATCGACAGCCACCTGTTTGAGGACCCCTGTCCTGTAGGATACATTGATTAACTTGATTAATTTATTTCCCCCTTGATGATGTCGAGCTGTCCAGGCCCAGAGGCAGCAAAGCCCCAAATCATGAACGCGCCTTCCACCATGTTTCACCTTTGGGGTGATGTTTTTTTTTTTTTTTAAGTAACTTTTAAGTCACTTTATTGTGACAGCACAGTGAGAGAGGGCCACGGGTCAGACTTGAACCCATGGCTGCTGCGGTTAGGACTAAGCCAATGTGGTACGCAGTCTACCAGGTGACCCACCGAGGCGCCCTGAGATGATCTTTTCACTGCTGTTTTTATATGTTAATGTTATGGAGACTGTCATGTGAACATCCCAGCAGATAAGCAGTTTCAGAATATACCAACAATCAAGCCACAATCATTTTTTCCTCATTCTGATGTTTGATGTGAACATGCACTGAAGCTCCTGACCTGTATCTGCAGAATTGTATGCACCGCACTGCATGAATAGTTGCATGAATAAGCAGGTGTTCCTATTAGAGTGCAATGTTTCTTGTTGTTACATACGGCATATTATCAGTTGCTCTTTGATATCAGTGGAAGTTTAAGATTTCACATTTCTTTATATATAATTTCTATGCACTTTCATACAAAGAAATGTTTCACCTAAAAAACCAAAAATCAGAAAAAGTAATATATAAATTAAATGGTCAATATATAGATCATAAAAACAAACGTGTGCGTGTGTTTCAGTTCAGATCGGCCCATGTGGTGGAAGTCTATGTGTGTGAGTGAATGGGTGGATGGGGGGGGGGGCAGATCATGGTTGCTGTGACTTTAGGAGTTACAGTTTTCATCACATCCTCCTATAAGCGGAGAATGCAGTTGTCCCTCAAGCCCATCACCCTGTGACATCACCCTTTTTTTTTTATATTACACTCGTAGACTTTAAATGGCAGCTTTGCTCTCATTGACTCGTTATGCTCAGTATTTATTTATCATCAGAACCATGACATCACATCCCTTTTCAGTGCTGAGTGCAGAGCCATTTCTTTGGACTGAGGTGACCATACCCAGAGTGAATCTGGGAAAACACTTGGCACTTCAGATGAAAGAAGTTTTCCCTTTGTGTACATGTCAGTCAGTCACTGAAGGACTGAGGGAACACAGTGTTCTGCTGCTGTGAGTGAGTGTGTGAGTGTGTGTGGAGGTGGGGGTCCTTGGATTGGAAGAGGCAGCAGGGGTGCACTGTAAGGACTACTAAACCACAGAGGCATTGTTACTGTGCCAATGGGGAGCCAGCCATTTATGCTGCTATCTTTGTTGGGCTCAGTCATGGTGCTGAAGTGAAGCATTTATCTGTTGGAAAACTGCATGACTGACACTGACATCCATTTTCTATTTCATCTTGATTTCACCTTTTGATTCGGCCATAACAAACACAGACAGCAGAAATACAGTTAAGGACAATATTCAGAAGAAGATGAGGAGGAAAAGTCCAGGACTGACCTTGGCCATCTTCCTAAGCTTGCTTTATAAATGTGCAGTCCAAACTGCAACAGCATCAGTGACGTCCACGTCCCCGAGAAACTATAACCACGCAGCCTGACAGGACTCAGAAATGCTGAGCTCCTCTATTTTCCAACATCTGGCGTCTCAAATGGCCACCTGAGAATAATGTGCCTGAGCTGGAGGTCAGAAGCTTTAACATGAATCTAAATGGGTCACTGAAACCCAAGGTCACTGTCATGCTTTATGCACAGAAGAATACAACCGTGGAAACTCTGGGCTTTTAGTACTATTTGCTCATCCTGCACGGTCAGATATAGTCTGGAAAATAAAGAGAAACCACTAACCAACAGTCTTCATGTTGACAAAAACACATGTAATCACATGTTTAGGCTCTTTAAACTACAATTTTGATCAACACACTGCGGTCCACACTGAGTCCACAGCTACAAAAAAAACCCCAAAAAAACCAAAACAAACCAACATGGTGACTTTATCGTAACATTGTTAAGTCATGGTTTTATCACATCTATTCATCCAAAATGCTTCTATTGTGTGGTCCAACTTGAAAATACTAAATATGGGTTGATACATTTGTAATGCAGATCACAAAATTCTGTCCACAGCTGCGATATCTCCTGTCATGAATGAAGAGAGTAAAAAAATGAATAAAAACTTAAACCCAAGTGAATCAGATCAATATCCAATCACTCCTCCTCTGTGTCTGCATCTCAAAAAACACTGTTAGCAATATTTGATAGGCAGAATGCTTCTCCTGCACGAGTGAGGCTCTAACACCTGGATGCAGAGAGTGATCAGGAAAGAAGACAAATCAATCAAAGAGAGGATCTATTCTTACACTTCTGAATGGTTTGAGGGATTCGTTTCTAACCAGCTTTGTTAGTCACAGTTCTGCACCAGTGTCGCCCAGTGACAACAGCCAGCAATGTTTGTATGTTTGCTACCGGCCACAAGAGCAAGCCTCAACAAGATCGGATAAGTAACGCGTCCATAAAATACTTCCTAATAAAACCAAACCATAAACTCAGACGTGACCTGAGCCGTTACCAGTTAATAGCCAGAGCCACAGCGACGGCCCTTCCCCTGTCTGTGTGAAGCACGTCTTAACGACGCTCTCATACTTTCCCCTGTAAAATGCACTTAAATGAGTGGAGGAAATGGGTTGTTAATTACAATGTTTATGTTAAAGAGCCAAGCTAGGACATGCTGCTTTTAAGTGCCTGGACAGTTGGTCTGTGGGGCCAGGTAGTTGGGTAAGAGGGCAGACGCCTGCTGTGAAATAAGCACTACAATTATTGTCCATTCTCAAACACCCAATCAGCCAATGGCTTGAATAACACATTTCGCATATTCTATATAAGGTGTTGAAATATATTAAATTCATTGGTTAGTTATGTTTTATATATGAATCAAACAGGTTTAATTGTTTCTGTTTCTTTGTGATACATAAATCACACAACTCCATAAAAAGCTATTGGATTGTATTCATGTTGAATCCATCATGATGTGAACTTTTTCATGTTGTGAATATGACTGAGGAACGGTGGCTCCTCTTCCCTTTCGCTGTAGGCTGTTTCCCAACATTCCCTGTGTTTTATACTTTTTCATTTATTTGTGTTAAATTGTTCATTTCAGCCCAGTGTTTCAGTTGATCTATTAATTCATCAGTCAGGTTACGAAAAACCAACATCATCAGTTTCACAGAGTTATGCTCAGTTTAAGGGCTTCAGGCAGCGTTGAGATAAAAATAGTTCTGTAGTAAGTGGAACTCTGATAAAGTTGGTTCATGAGTCTGTGCATAAGAAAAGATAACTGGATGCTTGGTTTGATATTTGTGATCTGTTCAGTGCATCCTAAACTTACCTGAGCAGGTGGTAGGTTCCAGTGAGGTGAGGCTGAGGTAAAATGCCTGGTCTGTAGGTAGAAACAGAGCAGGAGACACCCCCCCCCTCCCCGGCCCACCGCCCCCCCCCCCTAAAGTTATTCAGTTGAATTTCCCAGGTTTCATTAATATTTT